CCTCTACCTACATTACTCGGGGGCTATGTCAGGCTTCTGCCCCAGCTGGGAGGCAGGTGGGGATGGCATCCCCACGTGGTCTGGTACAGAAGGGCTCAAGACTTAAGACTGAGTGAGCTCAGGGAGATCCTTGGAGAAAAGAAAAAGATCCTACTGCAGACATGTGCTGAGATAAGGCCCAAGGGTGGAATATCAAGGAGTTCAGATCCTAAAAGTTTCCAGAAGGGAAACTTAGTCCTCTATGAAAGAACCAGACTCTCAACATCTCATCAGCACCACATTTTTTGGGGGAAACTGCTTGGATTGAGAACTGAGAACAAGGTAGGCAGATAATACTTCTCAGTAGGTAGGGATGGGCCCAGAAAGCTTACCCACTCCCTGCTTTTATGTGAATCTCTGTGTGGAGTATACTCACAAAGCAAATAAACCAACAGACAGAAAGTCATGAAATGTAAGAATATGAACACAACTCAGTAGAAAACAGGGACCTTTGGTGTGGGCAATCTGAACGCCAGGTGAGTCACATCTGGGGCTGGGAGCAGGAAGAGGTCACAATTAGAAGAATATTCTGTGTATATTCAAAGAAATGAAGAGTGTCTACAGTGAGGAAGGGGCATTCACTGAGATGGAACTGAAGGGGTTCAAGGATGCAAAGAACTCTTCTCAGGACACCACAGCAGGAGCTCCAGCCTTGCAGAGTGCAAAGGAAGAAGAGCACAGGGTTCTATTCAGCCCTGCTCTTTATCACAAGAGTGAAGTCTGAAGGCAGACAGACCTCAGAGAAGGAAAGGACAACTCATGTCAGGGAAAGCAGAGGCCAGGTGGTCTGAGGGCCACAGCTGGGGACAATGCCTTATAGTAGCTCTGGTAGCTGCCCTAGGAGTGAAGGCTACAGTGGTGGGCAGGAATAGGCCTTGATCAAATGCTACCAAGTGTGCACTGGCTGGTCCTTGCCACCCAAGGCCCTTCCGCCATGAGGCGCCTCTGGTTCCAAGTGGCACAGACAGATGTTAACTTCCACAATCAACAGGGAAGCATCCCTGAAGTCCTAAGTCCTGGAAAACAAATCTACCTGCAGCATACCCCAGGAGAGTCCACTCAACTCAGGGCCAGTGTCTCCTGAGCCCAACAAGATGGCATGAGCTCAGATAAATCAAATGCTAAAGGTGTCCCACTTGCCTATAGATATGGAATCTATGGAAGTGGCCAGCCAATGGTCAAGTTGCAACAGGCAATCACCAGCCTGTCCTCCCTTCCTCAGGTGTTGCCTCATTTCATGCTGCCTGAACTAGGAAATATTGGGGGTTGGGATGTGGCTCAGTAGTAAAGCTCTTGCCTTGCATGTACAAAGCCCTGGGTTCGATCCCCAGTCTCACCAAAAAAGAAAGAAAAGAAATATCCTTTTGTTATCTTCAGGACTCCCAGTGCCTCTCCTTGTATTGCTCACATCACATAAAGCTCTCCTCAATAGTGAGTCCCCAAGTCTACCCAGAAAGACCCCTCAGAATGTGAAGCTAGCCTGCTGTCCAAGGATTTTAGTGGCCCCTCCAGGCCGTGCTTCTCTTCTGCTGCATCAGTAAATCCAGCTTTCCCCATAATGACCTTAACAAATGGCAGCTCAGACACCCCAGGAATTCAGCCCCAATTGCCCAGCTGTTGAACTCTTGGCCTAATGGAGGGATTTCAAAGAGGTTCCAGACTAGTCATTTCCTGTACATCCACTCACTGCAAGGCTAATATAGTCTTGCACCTAAAGTCACTGCAAAAACACTTGACATTGCAGTTGACATTGTAGTTTAACTTCTCAAAACTCCCAATCCTTGGACCACTGTGTGGCTGGGCTAGTGGGAAGGTTGCTGTACCACCCTTCTGACATGTCCCCAGCAGGTTCTAGGGAGTTTTCTGCTAGCCTCCCTCTTCCTTACAGAATATAGGTCACATTTGTTAAATGTAATGAACATCAGGAGACAATAGTGTCTCGAGGGCCCACTTTGTTGCCTGGTGACCCTGAGTACAAGACCCATTCTGAGGCTCGGATTTCTCATTGTATCCAAGGATACTCACAGACCCGATATATGCCACAAACAAAGCACCCAAATCTTACAGCTCAGGCTGACAGTGTAATACTTCCCATCGCTTTTCTGCCCAGAACCCAGCCTTCCAAAATATTCCTCAAGGCCTAAGACAGCACTAATCAGGTGTGAACTACTGCTCAGAATACCTGGGTGGTGAACAAACAGCAGGGTGGAGCCAGGGAGCTCTACCCCAGGCCCACTCCCACTGGTAGCAGCTTGGACCCTGTTATCCACAGGGACAATGGCAGTGCTACCAGAGCAGAATGTCCTCTGAACTGTATGTCTCTGCTCCATGGCATTGCTTCTGAGGCAACTCCCAGAATATCCAGGTCCTGCATATACTAATCTGTGTAGAGCTCACCCCTAGCATGTTCACTTCCCAGAACTTCATGCAGAAACAGAAAGGTTGCAGTGGAAAGCAGCTGGAACCTCAACAAATCAGGCAAAATGGAGAAGCCTGCTGCCCCCACAGTGGCCTTTTGGTCTGGTTTGAAAGCTTCATCTTGGTTACTTTTCTATTGTTAAGACAAAATACCTGACGCCCAAAGTTAAAGGAGAAAAGGTTTGTTGCATCTCACAGTTTGTAGAGGTTTCAGTTCATAGTTGGCTGGTGCCAAGGCACGGCGGCGTGGCAGAAGAACATTTCAGAAGAAGAACAGTTCATGGTAGGTATAAAGGAGAAACACAGCAAAGCAGCAAAGTAGCAAGGAAACAATGGCAGTAGTCTGTCTCTCCTTTTTATTCCTTCCAGGCTACCTGACCTTTAGGTGGTGCTATCTACACCCAAGGCAGGCCTTTCCATTAGCCACATTCAGAAATATGCCAAATCAATCAATGGACTAATTTAATAATCACACACCCTAATCCTAGCATCACATACTTGATTCCACCATCATATACCTTAGATCCCAGCCACCTCTGAAAAACCACACCTATGACTTTACGAGATTTTTGGAGGATATCTAAACACAAGCTGTAACCACACTTCTGTGTTTCTTATGCAATGCATTTTCCTGATCTACTATACTTTTATTACATGCTTTTGAAGGTAATTTGCCTAAGGTTAAGCCCCCTAAATTCACTGTCTCTCAAAAAGGGGTTTCCACCGAATGTGGTTATGTTCTATTGCATGGTGACTTTCAACATTCAGACACTAGAAAATCTAACCTTCAAGTGATATGTCTGGAGAGCCCCTTTGTCACCTTGGAAGAACCTGTGTCACCTGAGGAACGGAGTGAGTGACTTACAAGCCCAGGGTGGTCAGGAACTTTCCAAAAAGAGCAAGATTTGCCTGGGGCTACCTGAGCCACAAAACCCTAACCCAGGAAAATGGGAAACTGAAAACCTATTCTACCTCAAATATCAAGTTTACCTTTGAGAGACAGAAAACATCCATATATGTTCAATGTAGAATTTCTGCCCATCCCTGACAAGTTATCTGCTCGACCCAGTGCCTTAAAACTGTCCCTTCTGAACTAAACTGAACCCCTGTGGAGAGCAAAAAGAAAGCACTGTTGGATTTGCAGGAGCCCCGATCCCGGCTGCATATAAAGCAAAACTGCTGGAAAGGCAACCTGTCAAGTTCTGCTAAAGTCTCTAGACTCATAATAATCTTGGCCCTATCCCTATGACAGTGCACACTTTCAGAATGACTCCTTGGTACTGCGAAGGGTAAATCACCATCACGTACAGCTATTTTACAACAGTTGACACTGGCAACCCCACACAGTACGGTCCCTGGTGCTCTGCACCAGGAGGTAACAGACTTATCACACAAACTCAAAGTAGACCAGGCTTCTCCACAGCAATGCCACACGGATGCTGCCCCAAAGCTGCAGGGACTCAGTTCTTTCCCCCTCATGTATGAGGGAGGTGGATAAAGAAAGGAAGTAGAGATGCTCAATGGTTACTGTGGAAGCTACCTGCTTAGCAGCCATCTTGGCCAAGTCTTCTCCTGGCCTCAGGGCTCATTTGGGAATCTGTGTTTGATCTTCCTTCCCAACAGGCTGGGCTGTGACCATCCACTCAAGGGGTTATTCTCTCTCAAACCAAAATTCTGTGCTTTGGGCACTGGTGGAAGGGAGTTGGTATGTGCAACTGCCCCCACCTCTCCAGATGTCTGGAGGTTCTGAGGCTCAGCTCTGCCCTGCAGGTTGGTTGGTCTTGTGGTAGGCAGGAGGGCTCTTGACCAGCAGGTCAAATCTGAATATGACCAGATTCCTAAGGCTCAGGCTTCATCTGCTTGGCAACTAGTGGGATCTAGCAGCTACATCATGTCTTGACAAACCTCCTCTCTCAAACTGAATAACTGTGAATTGCAGGGTTAGTAGCTGGAGGAACAACATTAACGAAACCCTAGTCTGGCCATCAGCCAGTCACCTCAGTTCTGCTTTCCCTCAAGGCACCCTGAACGTGGGTCAGGGCTGGCAAGTGTGGGTTATATGAGGCATGCTCAGCTCTGGAAAGGAAACTTTTTCCTCTCTTCACAGCTGCCTTGGTCCTAAAGGCGGAACACAGTATGCATTTACACCTCTTCCCCAATTCAGTGAGACACTGGAGCTACGGGGACAGGCGACAGAAGGCAAAGGTGACCATGTGGAAGTCACTTGCTAAGAACTCTCGTACTCCCCCAACCCAAGAAGTCAGTGTCCTCTTAGATCCCGGGCAAAGAGGAGAGAGTGCAGGACCGCGCAAGAGGCATCTGACAAGGAATGGGGGTCGGGCAGGGTCTGTGAGACGCGAGAAACTAGGAAGGGAGGAGCAGAGAAGGGCGGGGCAAACAGGGGTCCCAGAAGCCACGAGGAGGAACTAGGGCTCTAGGCGCTCCGGGTAGTGGGATACCAGTAGCCCACCGACGGGCTCACCGTGCACTCAGTAAGCTAAAGCGGGACACAGGCAGCACATTGGGGCTCACCGCGCACTCACAGTAAACTAAAGCGAGGGCCTTCAAGAGCACGATCCTGGTCAACCAGAAGGTACCCGTACGGAGACCAGTGTGACCGGCCGCGGCATCAGGCTCCGGCACGGGCAGCGATCCTGGCCCGCGGTCCGCGTCCACGACCTTCCGCTTCCTCAGGGACCCCTCGGGCGCAGCCATTGCTGGACCCTCTCGGCGCAAGCGCGAGAGCGGGCAGTGCTCTGTGCACGGAAGGTCACGCCCACCCAAAAGCCCGGCCCCGCCCACATGCGGGCCGCGCGCGCCCCCAACTGGCCTCAAGGTCAGTGGCTGCGGGGGAATGTGGGCAGGAGGTTACGGATCTGTGTTCTCCAGTTTTGTCTTGCTGCAGGCGTCGGCCTTGGGAACTCAGGTCTAGAGGGGAAGCAGGTCAGTAGGACGCCTTCTGCACGTCATGCTCAGGGGAAGGTCCAACCTGGGCTGCGCGTGATCAGTCTTCACGTTCTCTCACCGACCCCGCATTTCCACTCTGCAGAGGATGCTGGTGACCAGCAGAGCTAGTCTGAAGTTTTGGTAGGTCTTCTGGCTTCCTAACCCACCCGAAATCCCAGTGGGGTCTCTGCATGGCCCCGCTAGAGCGCCAGGGCTCCTGCAGGCTCTGGCGCTGGGCTGCAAGCTATGGGCACTGAGGCGCACCACACTGGGGGGAAAGAACTTAGTGACCACTAACCTAAGTTGAACCCCAAGTAATACACCAAGGCTGTGCTTTCTGATGTGAGGGGCCACTCCGTCCCTGCTCTTAAAAGCAGTTGGAGAGGGTGGATGGAAGGCGTGCCTCAGAGGAGGGTGTGTGTGCAGGTCAGTTTCTGGGCAAACTGAGTTTAGGAGGAAATCACTGAGGTGTGGGTTTTTCTTTATTCATGAGACAGAACTCTTTACTTATTAAATATCCTATTCTTTTGTACATATTGTGAATGCCCTTTTTTTTTTTTTTTAAGTAGTGGAGATTGGACCTTGGGTCTCATGCATGCTAGGCAAATAGTTACCACTGAGCTATATACATCCTTAGTGCTTTTCTATTTTATTTTATTTCTGAGACAAAGCCTTGTTAAGTTGTTCAGACTAACACCAAACTAACCATCTTTCTACCTCAGTCTCCTGAGCGGCTGGAATTATAGGAGTGTGCCACTAATACTCAGCCCAAATACTTAGCTTAGTTTTTGTTTTTACATCTTGTCTTCAGCCTCTTAATTTTGTTCCTGGTGTTTTAACATGAGTTACCAACACTTGCATAATCAAATGATACAGGCGTATGCCTGTTTATATCTTCACCAATCTGTACAGAGCCCCCTGAGGGCAAAGCCTGGCTGTGGATCCCTCAGCTCTAAGCCACAGCACCATCTTCTGAGCCCCTCATCCCCACCCATCCCCTGCTGCTGGGGTAATAGTGTATATATATCCATCTTAGCGTGATTTTTTCCCCCTAAAAATGGTTTTTCTTTTCCATAAGCAATTCTCCTTTAGGAGCTCAGCTGTAAAATGTGGCCATGGCAAATGATGCCACGGGTGGTACACATGCCTTCTATGTCCTGCCTCATGCAGTTCTGTGTGTCTGTCACCCTCTGTCCAGAGTGTGCCCAACTCTGGAAGCCTTGGGTCTTAGAGGAGCAGTTGGCTGCAGCCACTGGCCTTCCTCCTGATCCTTCTGCAGGAACCTCGCCCTACACCTCCCCTCCCCACTGTCTGAGTTCCAGGCGTGAGGACAGGCCAGCATGGCTACTTTCAGAGTACAGTCCATGCCTGCAGAGCTACCTGGGTCTGTCTGGAGTCTGGTGCTGTGCATGGGACTGCAGGACAGTTCCACCATCAGGTGTGACCTTGGGGGCTCCTTTTCAGGTGGGGACAGTCCTCACAAAGGCCCCTTTGTCCTTGGCTTCCCCTTGCTGGGGCCGCATTGTCCTCCTCACAGAAGGGCACAATAGGGCATTGTGCAAAGCAGAAAGGGGGCCCTTGTTCCAGCATCCAGCTCTCGGGGCTCCAGTCGGCTCTGGGCTCCCTCTCTGGCTTTGCTTAGGGTGGGTGAGGCCAGCAGAAAGGTCTGTTGGGAGCTTGAGTCCCTGCAGATTGAGTTTCCTGCTAGATTTGCCTTCCTGGACACTGTGAGAGCCGGTTCAAGAGCAGGTGGCCAGGAGCAGAGCTCAAGCTAAGGAGAGCAGGGCCCATGGCTGAGATCCTCCCTATTTCAACCTAGGTTTAATCAACAGTGCTCTGAGGTATAATTCACCCATCAAGAAGAACAAAGTATTAGTGTATGCTATAATATGGATAGGCCTCAAAACATCAAGTTAGCCGGTACAAGACTCATGCATGATTCCATTTTTGGGAAATGTCCAGAATAGGCAAATCTTGGGGGTGGGGTGGGGCAATAGCTTAGTCGTTTCCAAAGGGAAAGGGGAATGACTGTTGGACAGATGTAGAATTTCCTTTTGGGATGATGTTTTAAAAACACACAGAGGTGATGGATGTGCAATACTGTGAGTGTGTCAAGTGCCACTGAATCATGCTGCTTATAAAGGTTAATTTTAAGCTGTCAGTTTCACCTCGATCTTTTTTTTTAAAAAAATAAAATAAACAAAAGACATCCCTGAAGTGGCATATTTCATGATCACCAGAAGCACTGCTTTTTACTTGTTGAAATAAGTCCTGTCATTTCACCAAACCTCCTTTAGCAGTTTAAGATAATATTAAATAACTGCTCCACATAGACAACAAAACTCTACACACCCAAAACAAGCTGCAAGAGAAAGAAAATCCTGCACAAGAGTGGGGGCTGTCATCCAGGTGGGGTCCCAAATGTGCTTTTGTCACCGTGTTGTTTGTGCCCTAAAGGCCATCCACACTGTGGGGAAGGGGTGGGGGAGGAGGTGGAAGTGTGGAGGAGGAGGGATGGGGGCAGATTTCCAAGTTTTGCTTTCAAAGAAAAAGTAGGGGAATACATAGAGTTGACAAAGAAGAGGCCAAAGGGACCAGAGCTACCCAGGGCTAAAGAAGAGACAGGGAGAGTGGAAGCAGAGGGGCCCCGGGAGCTGCCAGCTTGAGACTGGGATGGTGCCTGGAGACTAGGGCCTGCCCGCCCCTAGGTGGGCCCTGTGCCCCAGCCACCCGCAGCCTCCTCCTGCACAGCTCAAGGCTGGCCACACTCCCAGCAGCTGCAGTATGGCTTCACAGAGGAATGAGCCCCCTGTCAGCACCTCTTCCAGCTGTCCCCGGGCACCCCGGCCTGGCAGTCCCCACTGCGTCCGGCCATTGTGCCCAATATGCACTTGCAGCTGTCTCAGGGACCCACAAGAACCCAGCTTGGGCCCAAATCTAATCGTGCACCCTTCATTTACTCCAATTTTTCATGTCTTGAAGTCTTACAGGGGAGCAGGCTCATGGATGCTAACATCTGTTGTCTTCTCCTGGAGGGGTGGTCAGCCTGGGCCAATCCTGCCCTGCTTGTCCAGAGGCCAAGCCCACCCCCACCCACAGAGAGGCTGGCAGGTGCGTGGGGGTGACAAGCAGGTGCCTACCATTTGCTGGCTGTTCTGACACTGTGACTCACAGGCAGCTGTTTTGCTTGGCCAGTGTACCTCCTCTCCTGCACCCCAGGTCCCCTGCTCCTAGGAGACGTGGTCCTGAGTTGATGAGCTGTAGTGAGTTGTGCTTTCAGGTGGGGCAGAAAGCTAATCCTCCCAGTATAGCTGTACTCTGCTGGCAAAATTATGGGCACAAACATGTGTCCCTTTTCCCCTCTTGGAATTATAGTCTGAACTGGAAAAAATCTTTGAAATTGCCTGGCCCAGAAGTCAGAACCCAGAGGCTTGTGGGCTAGAGTCTGCCCACAGAACCATATCAGTCACCATGTTAATCACATTTGCCCCAGGAATTCCAAGTACCAGCCAGCCACAAACCATAAACCATGTGCCCTGGGAAGTCTCTGCCAGTCAGCATAGGAGAGCCTTGGGTTTCCTGTGCCTTTGTGCCTACTCCAGCCTTTGGAACAAAAACTCTGCCCAAGACTGGCCGGAGACTTCCAGCTGCCAGCTCCTTCACCTATAGCTCTACATCCTCCAAGTACAGGAGAAACCATGTTGCTACCCAAGTACTGACATGATGATATTTAACTGCAAACCTCACCTTCCTGAGTTGGGGAAAATAAATGCTTGGGAGAGGCCAGATCTTTTGACAAGTATGTTTAATTCACCTTTGGTGCTAATGACTACAGTATCTGGAACTTTCTATCCCAGCAGAAGAGGTCAGGACCAGAGCCAACTGGAGCCCTTCTCACAGAAAGGGGATTTTTCTGTGATATGTTTGTTTCAAGCCACCATCTGCCTGTTCGTTATTTTTTTCCCTAATATTTGCTAGGTTTATTGTATGTATATAGGTATGTATGTATTTATGATACTAGAGATCAAACTCAGGACCAGACCTTGTGCTTGCCAGGCCAGTGCTTATGCTGCTGAGCTATCTCCCTGGCGCTTGCTTGATTATTCGTGAAACAGATCCACTTGGCGGTTTTAGATATGGATACCATGGGCAAGAAGCCTTGTCAGATTTGCATGTCCACCACGGAAGGATGGATATAGGCCTGGCAGGTAGGGGGCTCAGAAGGATGCCCTTCAGAAATAAGAATCCCACTGGTGTCTACTGCTCCTCCTGCACATGGTGTAGATGGCTTTTCCTGAGCCTTTCTTGCCTTGCTTCTCAGCAGAGCTCAGCATTCAGAGGAGGAACTTGGCACAGAGCCAGTGATGGTAAAGGGGCAAGGCAAGGGCCAGTTTGGATTGGGACTGGGTCAGGGGAGCCAGGGCCTGGAATGGAACAAAAGTCTGGGGGACAAGGATCTGAAGAGAGGCTCGGGACCTGGTATGTACTGACAGAAGTGACAAATCGTCCACTACAAGGCACAAACACCTCACCAGCAGGTAGGAAGGGGGAATGTTCGGCTGATGGAGTGCAGGCCAGAGTCCTAAGTGGGTGGACAGAAGCACAGACCATAACAGGAAGCTCAGGGCCCCCTGGCAGCCAGGAGGGTGCACAGTGAGCAGCAGAAACCACAGCTCTCTCCAACACATCTGTGATCTTTGCACTCACCTGTCACTCGGGACAAAATGAGCACCGGGTGTCTTCCACTCCTTGAGTTAAGCACTGCCACCACACTGGAATCCTTTCAGCCCTCACAGGGAGGTCCCACTTGGTGGTCAACAGTTACTACCAGGCAGCATGGATTATTCTGGGCCATCTGGCAGAGGGGAAGGACGTGCTTATCCCTCTCTGGAGGTGCCAGCACCCTGAGGATGCCCTCGCTCCCAGCACAATACAAGGCAGAACAGCTCCAGTCACGGGACACTCAGGAAACTGCTCCATGGAAACATGGGGCAGCTTTCCATGTCCCACAGCATGTGTGGAAGGGAGAAGAACTGACATCCCCAGTGCCAGAGCATATCTCAGCTCAACAAGGGGCTGGCTTTGTCCTCACCTAGAACTCCCACTCCAGTTGACACTGTTGGCAACCCTGAGACCGCTAAATTAAGGGGGGCAGTGGCAAAGTGAGTGCTATCAGGAGGTCAGTCTCCTAGGGGTACCAGGCAGAGCTCTCAGAGCCTTTCTTGCCTGTGTGGGACCAGTGGAGGGGGGTAGGCTGAGTTTAGGAACTGATGCTCTGAGTAGTTCACCCTTCTCTGCCCCTCCAGCCCGGTTATTTCTGCCAGAGCAGCCAGTAATTAAAAGCACCAATTACTCTCCAAGGATATGCTGGAACAGAATGCCAACTACCTCATGGCCACTCTTCACACAGGGGCTGAGGGGGCTCAGGGTAGGGCTGTGGACAGAGGGACACATGGCCCTCCCCTCATGCTTTCCTCTTAAAGATGGCACACAGTCTGGATGGAGCCTCCCTTGGCTGTGGGTTAGAGGTGGTAGGTTAACTGATGGAGAAAGACGGAATACAACAGGACAGTAGGGTGCCCTCTTTCACAAGGGCACATTCTAGCCCCAACATACACACAGCTTCCTGGGCCATATTGCTAGAAGACAGGTGAAGGGTCAGGAAAGAACCTATTAGGCCAGGATGAGCCTCACGTGAGGCCCCTTCTTAGAGGTACCCTTGGAACTTCTGCTATAGGGTGTCTAGCCACCTTACATGTATCAGCCTTTCCAGGTCCCAGGCCTACTAGTTTAGGGATAGGTACTTGGTCCAAATTCATGCAATCAGACCCTCACTCTGAAACTGTAAAGTCTATAAGCTGATGGTGAGATCCTGTGGCTTAAGATGAGGTCATTAGGACATGGATGGGGCTAGTACCAGCTAAAAAGGCTGGGTGCAGGATGGAAGAACTAAGAAAAGAGGGAAGGAGGTCCACATTCAGACAAGGATGTGTAGTCCATAAGATGAGCTGAGAATAACTTGAAGAGCTCCCCTCAAATTTTTTTAAAAAATGTATTTAGTACAGGGTTTATAGAGTCTCACTATATCGACTTGTAGTGATTCTCCTGTTTTCAGCCTCCCAAGTACTGGGATTACAGGTGTGCGCCACCACGCCCAGTCCCAATCGCCATCTCAGCATGCCCCAGGGGTGGGGCTGGCTGGCATGGCATGCTGAGGATCGAACCCAGCCGCTGCGCTCTGCCTAAACAGGCGCTTTAATCCACCGAGCTATCTGGCTGGCCCTCCCCTCAAGTTTTAAGTCACTATGACTCTTTGTTCTCATATGCCTTATGTTCTTGCCTCAGGACCTTTGCACATGCTGCCCACCCCAGGAAATGATTTTTCCTCAAAGTTGAAACCCTTTTCAGGCTTTTTTTGGCCTCTGTTCCTATAGTCCCCTGAGAAGAACATCTCAGTCTGTAGAAAAGGCTGTTTACTTCCTCCTCCTCAAGGCCTGCATCTTCAGGGCAGGGACTGCGTGGTGTGGTCCTGACGGTGTTTCTTAGAAAAGCTTTGGCACAAAGCTACAGTTAATGAGTACTAGTAAATGTATGACCCCGCCTGAGATATCTCTCTCTATGGAAATCACATTCTGTGTCCCCTCCTGGGTAAGGACAAGTACCAAGGTCAGCACTAATGCAGGATAAAGGCCAGAGTACTGGCATTTTCTGGAGTACTGGCATTTCATGGTGGCCCAGAGGTGGACCTGGCAGGGGCTTTAGGACACTATTTGACAGCCAGCAGCCTGTAGGAAGCTGGAGAGCCTGAATCCTGAACGCATGAAGGTGAGGAATGCTAGACACGAAGCTCACTTCTGCCCTGTGGAAGAGCACATGAGGATTCCTGGCCAGAAGAGAGCCAAGCTCTTCCATAATTTGATGGTGTTCTACATATATGACAGGAGCTACCTACCATACCTTTCCCTCCAATATCCTGGGTTCCCTGTTGCCTAGGAAAGTACAGGTCAGGGGAGGGCACTGTGACCCAAGCCTAGATTGAACTCCTCAGCTGAACCTCCTTTCCTTCAAGGGGCCCAGTAGCCCCCTTGGGGGGTTTGCAGGTTAGCACAGTTGTTTAAGCGCCTGCTGGGGCAAACCCAGTCAGTTCCAGGGTTCAATCCTCAGCTCCTCATGCCTTACCAGACCCACCCTTAAGGCAGCCTGAGCCAGCCAAAAAAAAAAAAAAAAATCCTTCCCACTGGTCCCCTCATCTGCCTCCTAGGATGTGTGATGTCTCCTATGTGGGTGGGGGGCCAAGAAGTCTTCCCTGCCAGCCTGGCATATCCATGGCAATCCCTGCTTTGTGCTTTCTTGGCAAAGCAGACATCCCATTAGGATCTTCAGTCCTGGGGTCATCCAGGCTTAGGGAGGGTAGGCTCTGAGCCCTGGGACAGTGTAGAGTGGGCCCCTATCTTCAGTGTTCCCACCATACAGCTGTTATGGTCTGCAGGGATCCTGTCTGACAGTAGGTTCTACAGGTGCCCCAGCTGCATTCCCCTCATTTACTCTGTTTCTTCACCCCTTGGTGGCTTCTGAAATCCTGGAGGAGTAAAGTAGGGCTCTGAGTGGAAAAACCTCCAGAGGAAAGGACAGCTAGCTACTCAGCCTCATATGTGTTGTGGGGGGGGGGCGGTCTTGGCAGATGACTTCAAAAGGAGACAAAAGGGAAAGAGATGGAGAGGGGAGAGGTCTGCCTCTTTGGTGGAGCCAGTCCTCCCCACCCTTGGCACTTAGGAGTCCCAGTATATACAGGGTAGCACTTGGCATAGGATGGTACTTCTGAGTTGGACAAGGCGAGAAAAAGTGCCTCATTAGCTGTCACTTTGGCAGAAAGCCTGGCAGCCCAGGTACCAGATTCCTCTTTCTATAGCACACAGACTGTAAGTGTCCCCTTGCCAATTTACCTCCAGGCATGACACTGGCCCATTCCACAGAAAAGGCTTCAGAGCCAGATGTAGTGGCACATATCTGCAAGCCCAGCTACTAGGGAGGCTGACATAGAAGGATTGAAAGTTTCAAGCTAGCTCAGGTCACTAACAAGATCTTGTTTCAGAATAAACCTGGAGGGGCCAGGGAGATGGCTCAGTGGAATAAGGGGTCCCTGGCAAGCGCAAGGACCTGTGGCTGGGATGGTCACTAGGGCATCATTCTTGCTGGGCTGCAGTGGTGGTAGGCAGCACCTGGTGACCTTGCTTGTGAAGGTATGTGTAAGGCCACTAGAGGTCCACAGGCTTTCCTTTGGACTTTCCTGGTAATAACAGATCATACTTTTCTGCTGGGGAGCAGGAGTGTCTGTCACTGCAGCTGCAGTGGCCACAGCTCCAGAGTCCATGGCCTGGAACCAGGCAGCTTCCTACAAAGTCATTTGGGTCTTGCAGGCCACAAGCTTTAAGCTCCTGCCTAAGCAGCCCTAAGAAGGGTCAATGCAGCTTGGGGAGACTGGGTCTGTCGCCTCCTGAGCCCCAGGCTAAAGAATCAGAGCCGCCCTTGGGGACTGGCGGGATGACCTCGGAGTCATAGATCTGGGCAGGCCCAGAGGAAATGTCCCCTCTCCGACCCCACCACACCCTGCTCCGTTCCCTCCTCCTCTTCAGCGCCCCAAGAGCAGCGGCCCACTCCAGCTCCCGCCTCCGCCGGACCACCCAGAGCTGCCCGCGAGGGCCTTCGCGCCCTAACCCTGGGGGTCAGGTCCGGAAGGCCCTGGGCCCCCGCGTCCGGCCACGCCATCCGCCCCGGCCCCAGGAGCCCAGAGCCGCGGCCCGCCCACCTTCCCGCCCCTGTGGGGGCCGCACCCGCGGCGCAGTCCCAAGACTATGCGGCGACCCAGGTCCCCAGCTGGGGCCTCAGCCCAGGGTGTTATGTCACCTGGACCAGCCGGCGACTCTGCACCTCCGGGATGTGGTATGATGTTGGGGCTTGGGGACCAGCGGCAGAGTTCGGAGAATTGAGACCCCATCGCCCTCTCCTGCCGGCTCGGGGACTTGGCGCCGGGTCCCACGTGGTGTGCCTATGGGGCGGGGTTTCTGGGGTTTGTGGGCAGAGCTTTTAGTAAAGCCCCGCCCACACGAGACATCAGCCAATCAGTGCTTAACTGGGCGGGGCTTCAGTTCTAGTTTAAAGAAACTTGTTGCGGGTCTCTGCGCCGGGACTAAGCGGCTGCTGCAGAGCCTGAGGAACACGGGGTAGGTGGGCAGTAACAGCGGCGGCGGCGGCGGCGGCGGCGGCTGCAGCAGCAGCAGAGGAAAGAAGGCCGGGCACGCGCAGCCACCTTGGCCCTCCGCGGCCCGGCGCGCGGCCCCATGCTGGACATGAGTGAGGCCCGTGCCCAGCCGCCCTGCAGCCCGTCCGGCACCGCTGGCTCCATGTCGCACGTGGAAGACTCGGACTCGGACGCGCCGCCGTCACCCGCCGGCTCGGAGGGCCCGGGCCGCGCAGCGGGCACCGGGGGCGGTGGGCGCGGCGGCGCGGCGGAGACAGCAGATGAGCGCTTCCCGGCCTGCATCCGCGACGCCGTGTCGCAGGTGCTCAAGGGCTACGACTGGAGCCTGGTGCCGATGCCCGTGCGTGGCGGCGGCGGCGGCGCGCTAAAGGCCAAGCCACACGTGAAGCGGCCCATGAACGCCTTCATGGTGTGGGCGCAGGCAGCGCGTCGTAAACTGGCTGACCAGTACCCGCACCTGCACAACGCTGAGCTCAGCAAGACACTGGGCAAGCTGTGGCGGTGAGTGCGTCCCTTCTAGCCAGCCAGGACCAGGTGCTGGATTGCGGGGGTTCCGGGTGGGTAGAAAGCAAATGTGGGTCCCGGATCGCACTCCTTCTGGGACATCCTGCTGAGGGTCTCCAGCTGTGTATAGCTGGGCCCTACCTAGAAGCTTGCAAAACACCGGGGTAGGCATCATCTGCATTCTCTAGGTGCTCCTCCTGAGAAAGTACAGGGACCCAGGACTCCGCACCACCCACTGGGAGGGAAGTCTAGAAGGTCTTTGGGCTGATGCAGTCCCCACAACCTTTCCATCTCCCTGGCCAGTTCTACAGGGAAGGAGTGGGTGAAGAGAGTATGGCAGAGGTTTTGTGCACACTTTTGCGCAGTGAGGTCAGAATGTGCGGAAAATAGCCAGCAGCCCTGCAGAACTTGAATTTTGGCAGCACCCCCCCCACACACACACATTGTTTTCCTGTTTCTTGAAGAGCTAATGGACACTCAGACTTGTCTGTCCATCGTTCCTACCTTCTGCCTGGATTTGCACACAGCTTTTCAGCTCTGTGGACTGGACAGGACACCCCCTCTCACCCACATACAGTGCTGAACCCTGCCCCCAGGGAGGGGTGGAGGTGTGTGTGTACTCTGAGGACAGGCACCTGGGTTGTGCCTTTTCCTCTGGGAGCCTGAGAATGGAGGACAGCAAGCCCAGCCATGTCCTTCAGCACAGTCCATCGGCACAGTTCCCGGGAAGCTGCGCTTTTGTCCAGGGTGCAGTGGCTGATCCTGCTTGCCTCCCCCACCTCTTTGAGAAAGCCCTTCCGGGGGGGAACACACACAGGCTGGGAAAGAAGGACAAGAGGGGGCAAAGAGGAGGAAAATGGAGTTTGGGTCTTATTCTTTGACCACAGTAAGCACAGAGATCTCAACTAATGAACCCTGCAGGGTCCAGCCTGGCGGTCTCATGGAGGGAATACACATGCCTGGGGCCCAAAAGGCTCCAAGATACGTGCTGAAGTTTCTCTTGGTGGAGGTGTGCTAGTCCTCTCTAACTGCCTGGCCTGTAGTCTTGACTCTGATGTCAAGGTAGATACCAGGGTGGTATACATGCCAGGGGTGGCTAGACCATGGGCAGTGCCAGGGTACCATGGCCATCCCCACCTCTGCTGTGTTCTACAGCTTGCTGAGTGAGAGTGAGAAGCGCCCATTTGTGGAGGAGGCTGAGCGGCTTCGTGTCCAGCACAAGAAGGACCATCCAGACTACAAGTACCAGCCACGCCGGAGGAAGAGTGTGAAAACTGGTCAGAGTGACTCAGACTCAGGGGCTGAGCTGGGCCACCATCCCAGTGGTACCATGTACAAAGTGGACACAGGCCTCAGTGATACACATCACCATGGTGACCACACGGGTGTGTTCCAGGGCCCTTGGTCTGGGAGGACCCATGGGGAAGGAGCAGAGGGGCTGAGCTATGGGGTTTGGGGTTCACTCCAGAGTAGGCACCCTCAAGAAAGCCAGATGTTTCTGGGTACCCGGAAGATGCCCTCAAAACCCCTACTGCAGCTGTTTCTGATGCACAAGGGAGCCTGAGAGTAGGACTGCTTTGCTCAGTTCCTGTTCTGAGGTGCATATTCAGCTGGACTTATCTGCACACACGTCTCCAGGCACAGGGTGAGCTGCTGCCAGGGAGGGGTCTCCAGCCCCAACTGCAATTAGGCTGAGGAGTGGAGTCCCACCACCCAGGTAGCCTTGGTCCTTATGGCAGGAGCCTGTAATGTGAGCCCATGTGTTTAGCTATGGCTGGGAACACAGGCTTTGTTTGTTTGTATGGATCCATTCACCTTGGTTGTGTGTACCTCACCAGCACCCAGTGAACGCTAGCTCAATCTGATGGGGTTGGGCGGGCTGCCTTCCTCCCATAACCTTGGCTTTCAGGGAGGAGCCAAAAGCCTTCTCATAGAACAGCCCTTAACGGAATTTTCTCCTCCGAGGAGTGAGGTCTGGGTCTGACTTTGCAGGAATTTCTGGGAAGTGTAAGGAAACAAAAAGCCGTTGATCCCTACCTGTGGCAGTTAGCTGGGCTGCTGGTGTCGGCTGTGGCCCCACCCGGCCCCACAGAAGGGGCATTCATCCTGCAATGTGCTCTGTCCTCAGGCCAGACCCACGGGCCGCCCACCCCACCCACCACCCCGAAGACTGACCTGCACCACACAGGCACTACCGGGGGCAAGCAAGAGCTGAAGCTAGAGGGGCGCCGCCTGGTGGATAATGGGCGTCAGAACATTGACTTCAGCAACGTGGACATTTCGGAGCTCAGTAGCGAGGTCATCAGTGGCATGGACGCCTTCGACGTCCATGAGTTCGACCAGTACCTACCCCTCAATGGCCATTCGGCCATGCCCACAGAGCCCAGCCAGGCCACTGGCCCTGGCTCCTACGGGGGTGCCTCTTATTCCCATTCTGGGGCAGCTGGTGTTGGGGCATCTTCTGTGTGGGCCCACAAGGGAACCCCATCAACCTCGGCATCACCCACTGAAGCAGGACCCCTGAGGCCTCATATCAAGACGGAGCAGCTGAGCCCCAGCCACTACAATGACCAGTCACATGGCTCACCCAGTCGATCTGACTACAGCTCCTACAGTACCCAGGCCAGTGTTACTTCAGCTACCCCTGCTGGGGCTGCCAGCTCTTTTGCCAGTGCACAGTGTGACTACACTGACCTGCAGGCCTCCAACTACTATGGTCCCTACCCCGGCTATCCTCCTGGCCTCTACCAGTACCCTTACTTTCACTCTTCCCGTCGGCCCTATGCCTCACCGCTACTCAATGGTCTGTCTATGCCGCCCGCCCATAGCCCCAGCAGCACCTGGGACCAGCCTGTGTACACCACCCTGACCCGGCCCTGAGGCACTGCACTCTGGGGGATGTGGGGGACCAGTATCAGCAGAAGATGACTAGGTCTCCAGGGACCTCCAGAGGGTGTGTATTAGCAAGGGGGAGGCAGCCAGTGTGGCCATGCTTCAAGTGCCTGCTGAAGTCTGTGGAAAGCCAGGCTTTGTCACCGGATATCCCATTGCCTCTAGATCTCCATGCTTTCACCAGCGGACACTGTTGTTTCCTTCTTCTGTCTGGTGACTGGTGATTCCAAAATGGTCGACCATTCAGTATTTCCTAGAGACCAGCACCTCCACTTTGCATCTAAGTAGATGAGAGTTGACAGCCACAATGCAGAGGACAAAGGAGGGAAGGGCCTGAGGTCCCTAGGCCGAGCATATTTTGAGGTACCGGCCAATTCCAGTGCCAAGCACCCAAGGGATCAAGGGATGGTGTTCCTGCAGCAACAGCATGTCTGTGGACTCAGGCTATATCCAGTCGGGTGTCTTTGGAACCAGATGGGAGATTGAGGTATCCCTTGAACTCAGAGTTCTGCTCATCAAGGTTTGGCTGTGACAAACACTTTTTTTTTATTTTTAAAACTTAAATGTGTTTGTTTTAAAAGCAGTTAAAGATGTATTTATGTTCTGTATTATTTTATCTTTAATTAATGAAGTAATTTGTGCAGAGAGTAGGATTTAAGAGAGACGAAAGCCGGGGAAGCTTTGCTCGGGGTGGGGGCAGGAGGGGAAGTGGGTGCGAGTGCTCGGCTTTTCATTGCTGGTCTTCAGGAGGGCGGGAAGGGAAAGGCTCTACCCTTCAGTGTCTGATGGGAGTGGATCGCCTGGCACCAGCATCACGTTGGGCCTGGAAGGCAGGACCCCATTCCTAGCCACCATTATGCCAAGTGGTAGAAGACAGGAATTTCCTGCAAGTGGTAGAATCACCATCACTTTGGCTCTTGGGCACCAGGCACCGCCTATCAAGCTGTGAAACTAAACCTTCTCCACTAAAAGTCTTTAGGTTCCTAGTTTCAGAGAATAATATGTGATTTGCCTCCTGCTTCTGCTGTATGCTAAGCATATAATTGCCTATTTCATGGAAACTTGTGCCTTTGAAACTTCGTAAATTTAAATACATTTGAGAAGTTGCTTCTTTTTACTTTTTCTATTTTTCCTACCTTTTTCTAGAGAAAAAAAAGTGTGTGTGTGTGTGTGTGCGCGTGTGCACTCATGCGCGTGTGTGTGTTTTGTTTTTTGCATATCTCTTTCTGGGGGTGGGGGTGGGAGCTGCAGCAAACTCATTTTTATGCAATCTATTTTTCGTGTCCAGTTTGGGAAGACTATTTCTGTCACTTGCCTGCTGCATTTCACTACTTTCTGATCAAGCAATGCGCTAACTTTTGTACAGATCAATTTGATAAAATTAAAAGAAAATGCTTTTTATCTACACGGGCTGTGTTTTGTGCATTGCTTTCTGCGAGCCTGGGCAACCCTTGTGGAGTTTCCTGGCAAGGCAGAGATTAGACTTTGCTGTGGATTAGACCCCTTTGAGCAGTGAGTGTGAGGAAGGTGGTATGGCTTGGGGGAGTTCAGCAGCACCTCATCCCAGGCTGGCAGCAGGACACTGGGTCTGAGTTTAGATACCAGTGCCCTAGCCAAGTCCAGACTGGCTTCCTGGGAGTGGGGGGTTGGAGGACAGTGCTCATTAGGCAAAGTGGGTCCAGATGGACTGTCCCTGGTCATTGCCCTCCCAGGCAAGTCAGGGCTGTCTCTGGGTGGTTGGTAGTGCTGCAGGCCCATGGCATTTTTGGGCCCTGGCTCTGGGCCAGACTGGGAGCGGATAAAAGCCGCCCTGCAGGAGCTGGGTAGAATTGTCTGCTGGGAGGAAAGTTTCTAGGGAGAGGATGGTTGTGGGAAGTGGGGGCAGTGGGTCTCTTGCCAAGCCTCCCCATGCATGTGGCTCGTGGGGGATTCATGGGGACAGGCTGGCCCACCAACTCAGTCTCTTCTGGGCCTGGAGGCAGGAGAAAGATTAGGTTTTCTCTGTGAACCCAGAGAGGGAGGTACTACAATTGGGTGGCTGGGTAGGGGACAGCCAGCCCACCCGTCTTCCTGGCTGCCACACCCCTCGCCTCACTCCCTGCCAAGAGCAGCATTTGGGAAGAGCTGCCTGGATTTAGGAGACTTCTCCAGGTCCAGGCCTGCCAAGCCTGGGGAGGTACTGTGAAAGCCAGGTTCACAGACAGCTACAGCCTTCACAGCCTGCTGCTTGTATGCAAGTAGCCCAGTCTGTCCTATGTCCAGACAGGGGCTGTTCAGGTCCATATGGCCTCAAAGCTCTCACATTGACAAGCTGGACCAAGGAGAACTCGGAGCATCCGGCTTGCTGACAAAGCTGCAAGGCCCTTTTGCTATGTGGGACTCACTTTGGGGCTTGCCAGGTTCCCAAGGGCTGGATGGCCTTGCAGGGTTTGTCTGAACTTGGCAGGCTTATGAGCATTAACTCCTGGGTGCCCAGTCCCTGCCATCTTACTGATCAGCCCTGGCCCTATTGTACCTCTCAGGAGTCTTTCTGCATCTGAGATTCAAGAAGATGGTGCCAGTGTTCCGACCAGTCCACACCTCTGCACAGGCCAGTGATACACCCCTGCTTCTTGCAAGACATTCCTCCCCAGTCTCCTGGACTGCCCAACTGATGGGTAACCCCTTGGCACCCTTAGTCCTCAGAGAGCAAGCCCGAGATCAGATGTCCTGAGAGTCACCAAATGCCAGGCCATGCACTGTGGTTGTATCCAGGAATGGACACCCAGTTGGGTCACCCCCCTGGCCCCCTGGCTGGTGCAGGTTTTACAGGAGCAGATATGTCCAGGATCCGGCATCCAGTATCCCTCAAGAGCTCCTGGCTGGTAACATTTCCAGGGCTGGCCTCAGCCTGCTTTACCCCAAGTACAGGCTCTGTTGAAGCTCTCTTTGAAGGTGCCCAACCATCAGCCCATCCCAGGGAGGGACAGGCTAAAGGGAAAAGTTCCTTATTTTTTTATTTCCTCACCCAGAGCAGACAGCACTGCCTCTGACCTTGGCTGAACAGAAGGCCCTGTTCAGACAGAAAGGGGAAATAGAGCTGATTATTACCCTGGGTACTAATAGACTGGAAAAGCCCTTCTGGTCTTCCTGCCCAGCTTTGGCCCACAGGAGCAGGACTTCTGTAGAGATAACTTTGTGCCTATCATAGCAGTCCACTCCTGAGACAGGGCTCCTGTGTCCTCTGAGAAGCTGTCCTGGCCCTCAGTCTTCTCTCAGAGACTCAGTTCAGGCTGTGTGGCCTGCTGTGGCCCCAGGCCTTAGCGAAGGGATGGTACCCTGGACTCCTGTGCATGGCCAGCTAAGGCATAATTTGATGATCTTTACCCTGGACCAGGACCCTAGTCTCAGCCTGCAAAACCAACACTGTCTTAAAAAATCTTCTATTACTCCTCCCTTAGTCAACGTAGGCTCAAAAAAAAAGGACAGAGGCCACCCCCTCACTCTCCAATCCCCTGGGCAAAGAACCATTCTAAGGGAAGAAGATTCATGGCACCCAGATGGCCAGCTGGACATGACATCCAGATGGCCAGCCTATCCTTTCTGTGCACTGGTGTTACATCTGCCTGCATCCCAGTGGTCATGGGGGATTAGTAAGTTTAGAATCCTCCCATGGTCATACATTCTTCACATATGTCAGGTATATATCATGGTGTTATTACCTTAAGCCACATGGGGATTCTCTTTACTCACCTGCAAATAAGGAACATCTGCACATCAGAATATTAAAGTGAAAGAGGTGAAGAGTGTGTATCCAAAATACAGGTCTTAAGTGGCCATGTGCCTTGGTCACCCTATTGCCACGGTCTCCTCCAATGTCATGGTTCCCCTCATAGCATAGTCTACCCCATTGCCTTGGTCTCCTTATTGACATGATCCTCTCCCTCTGCCATGGTCCTTCCCATTGTCTTGATCCCTTCCATTGCCTTGGTTTTCCTGTTGACTTGGTCATTCATTTTCTTGGTTTATCCCCATTGTTTCCCTCATTGCCTTAGTCCCTCCTTTGCCTTTTTCTCTCCTGTTTTCTTTGTCTTTCCCATTGCCATGGTCTCTCATATTGTCTTGGTCCCACCCATTGCTGTTTGTCCTCCTTTCTTGCCTTGGTCTCCCCCTGCCCACAGCTCAGCAGCAGTCTCTCTGAGGCTCCCTGAGGATGAACAAAGCTGGACCTGCTTTTCTGTGGTCAGCTCACTGACCTGTGGGATGGGAACCTCCTTAACTGTTTCAGGGCCTCTTATCTCTGGGCCCTGACACCTGTGTGGGGCACATCTAGTTTCTCTCCCCACCCCCAATTTTTGCCCTTCTCCATGAAGCTAGGGTCAAAACTGAGTGCCAGCTGAACCTGTGTTGGTCAGCCTGTCTAAGAGACTTCTTGGATTCCCAACCTGCAGGCCTCTCTGGCAATGCATGACACACTCAGGAGATCCTCCCTCAAAGGTTTCCTGACTACCTCATGTCTGGATTCTTCTGGGCAACCGGCGCCAGGGGACTCCACAAGGGTTAAGGGGTGCAGGCAACCATGCCTACAGCAGGCGGAGCGCTGGGCTGGTATGGGGCCCAGAACTGCGAAGGCGCTGCATTTTAATGAATCCTTATTGCTGGGGAGGCTTTTGTCTTTCTTTATCCGGTGCACAATAAAAGAATTAATTAGACAGAAAATGGCAGGGCAAGGGACTGACAAGTCATTAAGGGTGCTGAATGACCGATGAGATGCACGCTGGGGCAGATTTCAGCTCTGGAATGATAATGGCCAGCCGGGTGCTTTGTATGCACGACCAGCAAGCCTCACTGCCTGCATTGTGGCTGCCATTGTGGCCAGCCCAGGGCAGACATGGGGGCCCTGACTCCAGGAGGAGTGGAGTGAGAATCAGCCAGACAGAACCTGTGTAATTTCTGTGTACAGAGATGGTTCTCAATGCTTAGCTGTGAAAGGGACATTTTTTTTTTTTGAGGGGGGGTGTCCAGTCCATTGAAACTTTCTTCCTGTCTAGGGGACGGACAAGTGGGGATTTGGCGATGGCACTCCCCACACTGCAAGAACAGAGGGAGGAGAGGAAGAGAAGAAGAGAGGAGGGCAGAGAGAGAGAGAGAAGGAGGTGATCGGGGCATGTCCAGTCTTGCTGCTGCTGTCTTGGTTATTAAACATCACCAGGAAACAAGTGCCAACCACAGAGTACTTCTCTCACTCAGAAAAGTTGACCTCTGTTCTGTGTCCTCCACTGTGATGACCAAGTATCTAGAAGGGTCAGGCCAGAGTAGAAGCAAAGAAGCTGGTGAATTAAGAACATACATTAGGTCTTACTACCAATGGTCTCTGACCAATGGAAGGCTCTACCTGTCCCATCTCTGAGACTTAATTTCCTCTGGCTGAGATAGATGGGAGCTACCCTATAGCTCTATCCTCTGGGTCCCATGACTGGAAAGCAGCCTGTAACCCCCATGTGATGTCCATAGATGGGAAGAAAAGTGTTGGA